TGATTCCTTTTTCCCCATTAGATTTGCACAGGAATCACTCATTACAGGCTGCTGTTCAAAAGGCAAAGAACTTCTCTGGTTATCCTCATTTGTTAAGGGTTTCAAAATGACTTGAGAAGCATCAATAGGATTTTAATTGACTCCTGACAAGGTTCACCTGTCTCTCATTTCCAGGAACCAGAGCCAAACTTTCTAGTAGTATTTTGAAAAATTTGATGCTTTGAGGTGAAAAGGCAGAGTTTTTTGGGCAGTGCAGTACCGGCATCTCTGTTACTAACTACATTAGTTACTAACTACCCAAACTGCCCCTTTCTATATTGTCACACTGTTATAAACTACATTATGGACTACATTTCCCAAACTGCCATTCTTTATATCATCATGCTGTTATGAAGGAACTACATTTCCTCTGCTGCCTTTCTGGGTCCAGAAAAAAACTTCTGCTCACATGGTCTGTGTTCATGCTGAAATCAAAATCAAGCTTCTGCTTTTACCATGGGAGATTTTTGTCTTCCTTAAGCTTGCATTAGAACGCCTGTGTTACCAATTGACAGGTGTAGCTCTCTAGTCAGATTCTTCATCTAACACTGTTCCCAGAGCCAATTGCATCTGTCCACCTGCGTGCACTCAGACGGGGATTTGGTAACCCTTTGCCGCCCCCCACCTTACCAGGTCAGTGAAAAAGTAAAAAGAATACTTGAAAAAAGCTTTCTTAGAAAGATTCCCCCCATAGATATCCTGCTTGCCCCTGCTAGACCCTTCCCCCAAAATGCAGAGCTCCTGATGCCTTGGCCATGGGTCCAGCCCTATTCTTTCTGTTCTAGGGGCTTATGTCCCCAGTTCTCTACAGTCAACATTTGTTTAGCTTTTCTCATGTTGTCATTACTACTAGGAACTTAGACCCCGACTCCTTCATTGCAGGGACGATTTCAAAGCCTCTACTTTTGCCTTCACATCAGCAACTTTTCCTCAGCTGCCATTCCACCCTCGGGAGTTGCTGTCCCTGCTCTGCTCTCTGCCTGTACTGTCCTGGGTGTCTATTGCTAGTTTCTAGCCACTGGGGACTCTGGCTAGTGTCTAAAGTATCTGGTGTTTTTCTAATACCATCTTGAAGGGAAGAGAGGACTAGCAGAAAGGATATGCCATGTTCCAAGAGGTTTTTGTTTTTTCCAAGGCAATTGCAGGTGATTTTCCCATTCTGATAGATATTCTTTCCAGGTGAATCTAATTTGCCCTTACAGAAAGAAAAACATCTGAAAAGGAAAGACCTGAAAAGCTTCCAGTTTTTTTAGAGGGAGATTACTAATTTTTTTTTTTTTTACCAAGACTTCTTTTCCCTAAACATGGCTTCATGGGCAACAGGAAACTAATTCTGATGGTACGATGTTTTAATACAGTGGCAATGTCAGCAAAGTGGAGGGTTTTATTTGATCCACGTCCACCTCAGGAAAAATTCCACAGGAATCTTTTTCTGCCCAATTTTTCATGGTATATTTTTATTTCTCCAATTCTTCCCCAGGAGTTTGTGTTTATAGTCCCATATTTGGAAAATCAAGAACATAGCTCCTCTGTCTTGTTGCTTTTCTTACCCTAAGTATGGACACTGTATTTCTATATTCTACTTCTTTTTCCTTAATTTTTATAGATAGAAGTTAAGAGAGTGAAAAAAAGGAAAGTAACCTAGAGAGAGAGAGAGAGAGAGAGATACTCACTGCAGCCTACTTTTTTTGGAGCTGAGGATCGAACCCAGGGCCTTGCACTTGCTAGGCAAGCACTATACCACTGAGCTAAATTCTCAACCCTAAACAGCCTACTTTTTACTTTGGCATTTCTTTCAGCCACCTTACTTTATCTATAATCCCCAAAAAAACCCATGCCTTAATTTTACTACAAAATCAGACATGCCCATCTGCTTCCTGTGGGGCCCTCAACCCTCCTTTTGCCAAATCCCAGGTCTCTGTTTCTGATGCCATCTGTTAGAAGACCTACCCATTTCTCTGTGGGAGGCCTGCTCCAACTTTTTCTCCAGGGTACTCTTGGGAGGGGAGAAGTAAAACATATTAGGTAGGATAGAGAGGAGAGAAACAGATAGAAACACAGGATAGCCTTGGGAGGGCATGGATCAAAATCCACTGGCCCCTTCTGTCTCTTCTAAAGGGCTATTTATAAAAAGCAAAGAGGTGAAGCAAAAGATCCCCCCCTAGCTCAGCCAAGTATAGACACTTCCAATCACCTGGTAACCATACACATGATAAAGCAATCCTCTAATGCTGCCCTGCTGGGTAGAGCAAACTCAGATTTTACTAGAAAACCTTTGTGAACCTCAATAGGAAATACTCTTACACTGTTAAGTGCAAAACAGGTGAGCTCACCTCAGCCACATGGTATTTGGATATCACCTGTGTGTCTCATACAGCACTCAGCAGCTAACATTTTACAGGAGACATGCTCATATAGTTCCTTGTTATTAATGGCATTCCTTCTTCCAGAAAAAGGCTTAATCTTCTTCAAAATCAATATAGCTAAGCATTCTATTAGTTATACTAGAACACTTTTAAAAGTCAAATATTGGTATCTGTCTTAGTCAATGTTCTATTGCTGAGAAAAGACACTGTGTCCATGGAAGCATTTATAAAGTAAAGCATTTAATTTGGACTTGATTACAGTTTCAGAGGTTTAGTCCACTGTCATCATGGTGAGTAAGATGGGGTCATGCTTGCAGACATGGAAGCTGAGAGCACTTCATCTGGATCCTATGCTTCGGTCAGAATTTTCCCAGGAAAATGGATTATTTAAGGGCCACCAAGGAACTGCTGCAAGACTTACAGATCTTGGGCTACAGAAGTTCAGCTCAGAAAACCCAACTTTGTGCATCAGAGGCTACCTATCCTGGGTACCAGCAGAGGGGAGAAAAAGGAGCAAGCTCTAAAGAGGATTACAGCTGTTCTTCAGATCCAAGCTTTAAAGACTAAGAGACAAGTTGGAAGGTTCCTCGGTGCAGCTTCTGGATACCACAGTTTCTGGAAATAGCAAGGCCTCTTATCACAGAGCCCCTAACATGGACTGAAACAACAAAAAACATTTGAGGCTTTCAGGATGTTTTGAAACATTTTTATATGATTTTCCATGGAACAAAACACTAAAGGAATTTTAACTCAAATATTGGTCCATGGAAATGCTCTGGGACATACCTGTCTGAAGGACTGGACCTGGGAGCTACAGGATGGCCCATGTGTCTAAGAGTTGTGGCAGCTACTGCTAGTCTAATGAAAATTAAAATACAACTCAGGGTCATGATCTTATACTCACAGCACCCCATAATGCAGTTGAGGCCCTCCTAAAGGAGCACCAGAACAATGGTTCTCTACTTTCTGTATGACAAAATACCAGGCCCTACTCCTTCACCACCCTTAAGTCTGGGTTGAGAATCCCATCACCATGTACCCTGCTCTTCCCTGTTGACTGCCCACGGGTGCTATGCCTCAACTAACATGAGATGAAAGATGAAACCAGGTATATGAAACCTGCAATAGCTATTTTTACTGAAACTATTTGGTCTCAAGCCAGGTACCTTGGCATAAAAAGCAGAAATGATCAATTTGACCCAAACTCTCAGATGGGGAAAAGGAAAGTCCTCCATCATATACCTGGATGATAACTATGCATTTACTACTGGCATGTCCACAATATGAAGTACAGAGAAAGATGGATTATCACAGCTGGGAAAAGTGGCACTAAAAATCTTGGTCCTCCTAAAGGCCACTTGGCTTCCCCTATGAAATGCTATACTCCTCTCTGGGCCACTGACCTGGCTGTCCAACAAATGGCTCTAGGGCCAGTGGGGCCTATTGATATTCTGATAATGTATCCTGACTGGATACTGCCTGAGGCCTCATGGTAAAAAGAAAGGTACAGCTCAAAGCCACATATTGATGGAGGACCCAGAGGGAAAGATCATTCTCTCAGAAACAGCTGGCAGGACTCTGGTAACTGACCTTTACCAGGCTACCTCATCTGGGGTCCTCAAAACATTCTGAGTTGCTGAGACCAAGGTTTGTTATACCTGGACTGGGGAGCCTAGGAGAGGCAGTTTCACCCAGATGCAAGGTGTGTGCTCAAGTAATTCCAGAAAGAGGTCCAAATGTGAAGACAACTGTGGTGGTATTGTGTTCCCCAAAATATTGTGTACCCTAATAAACTTATCTGGGTCAGAGACAGAACAGCTACTAGATACAAAGGCTAGAAAATGTTGGTACTCACACCTTTAATCCTAGCATTCCAGAGGTAGAAATCCCTCTGGATCTGTGAGTTCAAGGCCACATTGGAAACAGCCAAGCATGGTGACACATGCCTTTAATCCCAGGGAGTGATGGCAAAAACAGAAAGATATATAAGGCATGAAGACCAGAAACAAGAAGCATTTTGGCTGGTTAAGCATTTGGCTGGTTAAGCATTTGGCTAGTTAAGCTTCAGGCATTTGAGCAGCAGTTCAGCTGAGAGTCATTGGGATGAGGACACAGAAACTTCCAGTCTAAGGAAACAAGACCAGCTGAGAAGTTTGGCCAGGTGAGGCTAGCTGTGGCTTGCTCTGTCTCTCTGATCTTCCAGTGTTCACCCCAATAACAGGCCTCAGGTTTGTTTTTACTTATAAGACTCTTTAAGATTCATGCTACAGACAACATGCTGGTGAACTCTGGGAAACTTACTCTACTAAGATCCACCCTACCAGGGCAGTATATGATAATTGCTAGTTTTTTAGATACCTTTTCTGTATAGGTAGAAACATTCCACACTCAGACTGAAACTGCCTGAATAGTAGCTTTAAAAGCTCCTCCAGAACCTGATACCTTGATTTGGCCTCACCCTTGAAATGGGATCTGATAATGGCCTGGATTTCATAGCCAAAACCCCTCCATTAATAGCTAAGGCTTAAGATATAAATTGTAAACTTCCTTATGCACACAGACCTCAGAGTTCTGAGCATGTAGAAAAATGAACAGGACGTTACAAAGACTCTAACAACTCTCATTAGAGTCCAGCAAAGTGTGGCTAGGCCTACTTCCCTTGCTGTGCTTGGCATCCTGGCCTCCATACAGGAAAGGATTCACTGCCTATGAAGTATGTTTGTAAGATCTCTCCCACTGCTACCCAGGCTCAGAGACCAGCAGTGAGCAAATCTGGGTCACCCTTCCTTTCTCCAGTCACTACAGGCCTTCCAGTTCTCCGCCATGGGTATTCATTGACTACCAAAGAGACTCAGACAATCTATGAGTCCACCATCAGTTTCCCCTGGTTTGGGGTCTAATGATACAATCTGGGTCAACTGTGTGGTCAAATGTGCCCAAGAACCAACACAGAAAGGACCATGTATGGAGATTCTCCCCACTCCTATGGATGTGAATGTAGCTGTCATTACACCATGGATCCACCACACCCTGGTCAAGAATGCAATAGTCACAGGCACTGATCACCAAAGGACTATCTCTGGACTATGGGTGCATTGAAATTAAGGTTTTATTGGGCCCCAGGCCCTTCTATTCCCTGCCCCTCTATCTCCTCCTGACTCTTGTATTTTCTCCTGTGGTTGTGAGTATGGAGTCATCGTCCAACCCCCACTGCTCTCAGGCCTGGACTGGAAATTGAGGAAGAGAGATAGAGAGAAGGTATTAGCTAGTATGACTGCAGGCCAGCAACCCATATTCCATCTTGACTTTTGCTTCTTGATGCCCACTTTCCACATCTGCTTCTATTGCAAAAGGGGAAGATGTAGGGTGTTTGCTTCTTTTTTGATGTTGGAATACAGACTTTACAATTTTATGCATGCCTTTTACTCGACCCCCTAATTACCACTAATAAGAGTTTCCATTGCAAAAATTGCGGTTTTGTAACTGGGACTTCCTGAAATAGCCATTCCAAGGTTCTGGCCTTTGAAAAACAAGAAAAACCTGGGGAATCAGACTCCATTCCACAGAAAGGGGTGCTAGGGACAGAGTTAATCACTCCCACCTGCAAATTGGCCAAGATTGCTGTGGTACACCTGGCTCCTATAGTAAGTACATAGGGATAAGAACTAACTAGACTGTCTGACCATTGACTGACAAAGTTCATCAGAACTAAGGGCTTCCCATATTAACTTTAGAGGATTTATCCTGTCAGATCCCCCTCATATTGATGCTTGCTAGTCTGCCTTATGGATTAATTCATCTGGATAACAGCAATATACTGAGCCACTGAGACTACTTGGTGGGCATGTACTAAATGTGTGTCATCTGATGCTTTCCAAACTATATAGACAGTGTAATCAGGACCTAGAGGAATTAAATGTTTCTAATTCTGTATTAAAGCAACAATTAGATTATTTGCAGAAATGGTCCGACAAAATTGGAGAGGAATAGACATACTTCTCATGAGATAAAGAAATTATGTATGGCTTTTGGAGAAATCTGTTGTTTCTCTACTAATTAATACAGAGCAATTAGCAAAAATCAAGTTATGGCTGGGGAAAACTTCAAAAGAGAAAGTGATAAAGACATAAATCTGATCATTGGTATCAATCTTTGTTCTTTTGGTGCCTCAGGTTAACTACTCTGCTATTATCACTAACTAGTTCTTTACTTCTTATTCTGGTCAGAACATTGGAGCTCAGCATCTTAAACTGTGTGGCTGGCTAACTATGCATCAGTTCATTAAAATTAGTGGTTTAGGACCAACTACACCTCTTTAGGGCAGGAAGAGTCCACTATTGGACTCATTTACTAAGAACAGTGGGAAATGTAACAGGGCCCCATATCTTCATATGATCCACACCTTAACATAACTGACTCCATGATGGAAGTGCTATTCATGATGTAAAACTCGGCAAGTAGACAGCACTACCAGCCAAAACCAAAGTAAAGGCCAAATCCAACAAAGTCCAGAGTTCTAAGTCTCTGAATGTACTAAGCTTGCTTTTTGCCTCCTGTACTTCTGCTTTTATTGAACTGTTCTTGTTAACTGAGGTATGTCAAGCCATAACATGTCTTTGTGCTCAAAACTCTCACTGAGAAAGACCTGGGGCTGCACTGGGATATGATTGCCCAGGGTAGTCACTGGATGGCTAATAATGACTTACTGGAGACTTAAACAGCTGACTGAGCAGTGTCCTCTGGTGGAAACTGTACAACATTTGGCACCTATGACCTCTGGCAAGGATGAAGCTGCTAAATGTCCCAATGACATTTCTGGCTTTTAATTAAGAAAGCAACTGGTTCATATTTTTTTTGAGGTCTTCTTATTCTAAACTGCCTATCCAATTTCTGCCTCCTGTTCTCCTCCGACCCCATCTGAAGAGGTCTGCTGGAATGGAGCAACAACTGACCTGGATTCTTCCAGCTATATCTGGCATGTCAGGTGGCAGTGTTGGGGCACCCCACCAATGGTCTTCTAAAGGATCCCAACTCTCAGATGTAGAGAGGAAAGGTGGTCTTCATTGATGTCTTGAAAAGATTAAAATATCCAAAATCCATTATGCTTTCTTGATAGGCTCACAAGAGCCCCATCTATTAAACTCCTAATTTTCCTTTGACTTCTAAGATTATTCTCCAGAGATGATGATGATCCTCAATCATATTCATGTCCTGCGATGGCTCTTGCATCAGCCAGAAGTGTGTATGATGCCCTTCCCATGTGGATTCTAGATAGGTGAAGATATATATTTACCATCATTTCATGTTTATGTTAAAACAAAACTGGCTGGTCTTCCTTGGCTGGAGGGAGCTGCTTCAGAGAGCCAAAGAGTGATTTCTTAAGTATGGGCAACATGTTTTCATTTAAAAAAAAAATAGTGAGAAATATCTGTGTAAGTAACATATCCTTCAGAGTTACATCTTATATATCAGTACTTTGATGCCTTGGGTTGTTAACCATTTTTCAGTCTTTGGTTAAACTATCCTGCTGAGTGCTGAAGACCATGTAGATGATTAAAATTAATGTTTCACTCTGTACTCTCAAGGTAGGTTGTGCAGCAGATCCTCAGATGTCTCATGGGATTGAGAGAGCCCTCATATTTCTATAACCTTTTTTGCTTGTTGTCCATCAGTGTGAGAATAAGTCAAAAGCCTTGCTTCACCGACTGTGGCTTCATTTGAAACTGGTATTCGTTGTCATTTTTTATAGACTGGACAATGTTTCAAAGTCATTGAGTCGGCTCTACATTGCCTCTGAGTACAAGAGAACATGTGCCTTTCCAGACTTAATAGGACATTGATCAGTGGCCCACAGCCCACTGGGACCTCTTTGACCCTGATGTGGAAATATGAAATGGAAAATATTCTTGCTGTTAATCCCTCTGACGACATCAGAATAGCCTCCAAGTGTGGTTACTGAATATCCAAAAGATCAGAAAGACACAAGTCCAGTACTTTTAACTATATATAATATTTCAATAGTCAGACATTTCTAAATAAACTTTGATTTCACATACATTTTGGTCAATCTTTGAAATACTTGATCTCTGACCTTGACAACTTTAATTCACAGTACATCATGTCTAAGTTTCATTTTTTTATGTTCCATCAATACCTTACTCAGAATCTCAAAACTTGCAAAATGTTTTCTAATCTTTTATTCTGGAAAAATCCAGCCATCTGCATCTTCATCCATCTAAATCCTTCATTACAAAGGCCATTTCCATACTCAGATATTTCTAACATTTTCTTTTACTTTTAGTTTCTTTTCTGCATAACTATCAGACATAGGAATAATAACAAATAAATTTATGATCTGTTATGAAATGTAAGCCTGTGCATGGAAGATGAAGGAATGTCTTTCACCTCCCTGTTAAGTTCCAATTAGAAATAAAGGCACACTTTCACCAGAGTCTACTTTGTGAAAGCAGTGAGTTTTTTGGGCTTACTTACTGATAATGGATAAGGGGATACTGACAGGAGTGTGAGTAACCAAAGGCACCCACATGGGAATGTCTCCACTTGGTTTGTATACTGGCTTTTCTACAGTGGCACATGTGGAACTTGCCTTCTCATTTGTCTTCCCTGCATATAAAGCCTAGCTGCTCCTAAACCCCATGATATCACATGAATCAGGGCAGAATTATATTCAATTTGTTGGGAGAGATGCTGGTTGCTCTGAATGATGGTCCAGTGAACCTCATTACCAGATTTTTTTTATAAAAGAAAATCAACAATCAACAAACCTGGTGATGGTCATCTCTTATACACAGGCATGGCTGAATTTAGGAACTTGACAATTGTTAGACTGATGATGACTCTGTGAAATACCACTTTAATAAAAGACAGCTAAAGAGAAAATACATAATAAGCTAGGGAAATAAATAAAAGTTTCCTTGATACATACATTTAAAATAAATCAGACAAGAAACACAAGACATTGTCCATATAATACATGGCATCTTTATCATAACCATGATTACAGTTTTTAATTGTTGTCTATAACAGATACACAGAAGCAACAAATATATACCAAAACATCATCAAATTGATGCTTACAACATCCAGCAAAACACCACTATAAAAATTCAAAATAAAAGTACAGTTGTTTTTACTACTGACATATTTATCTTGCATGTGAAAAATAGCAATATACAAAAGGGAATTGTCTCCTTATAAATTTCACCAGTTTGGTTTACATTAAGCAAGAGACTTGCTATTGAATTCAGAGACAATTATTGGGGCTGAATGAACATGTCTTCCTATTTCCTTATAACCTTTGTAGATTTGTCTAGATGAGTGTTATCATATGTTGTGTTGTGAATGGTATACAGAGATTACTGTAATAAAAGTTAAAGTACTATATCAGACAAAACACTTGAATGTGAAGAGTCACCTCATACTTTTTTTTTAATCATGCTGTGTGGTAGTCAGCACCCATGATCAAAGAAGTCAAAGCACATGAAATCACACAGGCTAAATTCTGCTTTTTAGAGATGGCTTTCTAAATAAATCAGGCTGTCCAGGTAAGAAAAGGTTCAATATAAATTACCATAAGTAATGTGGAATTAAGCAGTCATAGTTTAGAGATTTCAGGATGCAGAAAATAGAAAAAAAAATAAAATAACTGAGAATAGACAGATTTTTTTTAATGTATGAGTTCCCTGTCTGCAGGTATGCCTGCATGCCAGAAGAGGGCATCAGATCCCATTATAAATGGTTGTGAGCCACTATGTGGTTAATGGGATTGAACTCAGGTCCCCTGTAAGAACAGCCAGTGCTCTTAACTGCTGAGCCATCTCTCCAGCCCCAATAACTGAAAATAAACAATATTATAATTTTCTTTTTCTGAGCAGGGTGGTCTTGACACATGCCTTTAAGCATAGCACTCTGGAGTCAGAAGCACGTGGATCTCTGCAAGTTCAAGGTCATCCTGATCTACAAAGTGAGTTCCAGTACATCCAGGGTTACATATAGAAATCATTTATTGAAAAAATTATTTTCCACAACTTGTTTATGTCAAAGAAACTAGAAAATGGAAATAAAAGCATGGATTCCCAGGGCATGCTTGGGCAGACACAAGAATGAACATGAAACGTAGCAGTGCAATCACAAGAATATTAAGGAAGAACAGGTGTGGTGATTCTAAGTAGGGGACATGGACATGATGGGAGGTAATAAGACCCAGGATAGCTTCAATTTGTAGCCTCCAGATATCCTAGATTCTCACTGGCAGAAGCTTGTCTAGCACCCTGCAATCTATTCTTTTGACTCTCTTGGGATGGGTGCTTTCCCAGAACTGGCTCAAGACTAATGCAAATTCACATGAGCCTTCTGACTTGCAAAGTGTTAGAAACTTTCTTTGATACTTGGCTAGTGCTAAAGGGACATGGTTAAGAAAAATCTTCACTCCCCTCTGTAGTCCAGTAAATATATTAGGTAATACAATGTGTCAACAGTAAATCAAAACTAACACATACCACTGAAGTCAGATGTCATCTTCAGAGTCTAAATGGGGTAATCCCCTGAGAGCTCAGTTTCCATGATGTTTCTGGATGTTTTCATTTTGGTTCATTCTATGTGGTTTCAGTAACAAAGTAGTCAGATGGCATTGGCCTGTATTTAATATTAAACCATTATCAAAAATGAGGGCCATGCCACATTTCTGCATCTATACTAATAAGATCACAAGCCAATATGACAGCAAATCACATGGTTCCTTTCTGGTCAAGGTTAGCTCAGCTTCCCACTCAAGTGAGTTCATCCTCAATTGGGTAAAAGTCCAGATGTGTTCCACGTAGCTCAGGGGTTAAATGTACAGTGTTTTACCCATCTCTTTACAATGTCTATATAGTGAGGTCAGCATAAATATAGAAGATGGCCCCTATGGCTTAGGTAAACAACAAAGGATGAGATGGTAGAATTTGTTGGCATCAAGCAGAGACAGTTGAGTCCATCCATATGTTACTACACTTGCAACTGTGGAAGCAAAGGGTTGTCATCCAGCTGTTCACCTACTTCTCAGTCCCCAAGCACAAAATGTTGTCTGGAACCATTTTAGTCCAGTTTCTTAAGCTCTGCTCTGAAATCAGAAGAAATATCATGTTGGTTATAGTGTTTCTTCACAATGAAAAGGTAAGATGATTCCTAATTCCAGAAAACAACTTCATGCAGAACCTGCTGCTGCTCTGCTCCAATGAAATCTGTTTAATCCAAAGCTAGAAGACTATATGGTGATATCATCTACATGCTATTTTTGGTCCTTGAAATGAGAAAGATACAAAATTTAAAGATCACAGACTCTTCCACTGTGGTTTCATTTCAAAACTGTTTCTGCCACCTGTTTTGCAAAGTCATAGCCCCAATGAAGAGACTCAGAGTTCATTGCACCAAGCCATGAGCATGAAGTCAAGTTGCATTTTGAGACCACAATTACATTGAGATACCAAACCGATGAGACACCTGCTGTGAATAGCTGCATGTAGAGAGTGGAAATATGCAAAGATGAGATGTGTTAGAAATTGCAGAGAGAAAGAGCCATCTAAGACCTTTGAAAGTAAAGCCCCTGGGAATCTTTACCCATTGCTACCCCAGTTACTGGCCAGCAGAAAAGATCCTGTTTGCAGGCTCACCACCAAACCTACCATCTGACCCTGTAATCTACAAGACTCATGCCCTACCCCAAACCTACCCATCCCCCTGTGACGCTAGAAGCTTACTGAGACACAGAATCTGCCAGCTCCAATTAGACCAAGGGCTAAGATTGGACCCAGAGTGGACCTCTGAGACACAGACACAACAAGCATAATTGGACCAAGAGCAGCTTCCATAGACACAGGCACCTCTTGCACCTATTGGAGGAAGAGATGGGTAGACACCAGTGCAAGAATACATACAGCAACATAGAGAGCAATATAGCATCACCAGAACCTAGTGATTCTACAACAGCAAGACCTGAACATCACAACATAGAAGAAGCAGAAGAAAGTGACCTTAAAAATAACTTTATCAAGATGATAGAGGCCTTTAAAGAGGAAATGACAAATTCTCTTAAAGAAATTGAGGAAATGGCCAACAAAAAAAAAATGGAAGAAATCAATAAATCCCTTAAAGAAATCCAAGAAAACCATGAAAAACAATTAAACAGGTGAAGGAAACAGTTCAAGACCTGAAAATTGGAACAGAAAAAATGAAGAAGACACAAACTGAGGGAATGCTAGAAATAGAAAATCTGAGTAAACAAACAGGAACTATAGATGCAAGCATAACCAACATAGATTTAATAACATAGATTCTTTTTTTTTTATAACTGAGACATGTCTGCTCCTGGAAGCACCAGTCTCCTTCAGAGAAAATGGTGGGCATTGAATAAATTCCTTATGAGTTTCCTTTCAGTGTGGCTAAAGTTAGCCACAGAGCAAGAGAGTGCCCTTGCCTAGACTGCCAACAGTATGCTGTCTAAAATGGACAAGAAGAACACAAAAGAAAGGACTGCCAATCCTTGCCAAGACAAGGTAGGAAGGCTCATTAGAAAATCCTGCTTCACAGAAAAGTCTGTCAGATATGCTAAGCCTGTAGGGCAAAGATAGATGGCCCAATGTTGTAGAGTAATCTTGGGTGACTTTCCAGGCAGCTAGCTGTTTCTGTCATTTCTCACATTTTTTGGAAGTTGCTTGTTTGCACTTCCTGCTTATTTAGTTAATATTGTTTCCTTCTTGGTTCTCTGAGGGAGTTGAAGAATAGATAGTTATAGTTACAGTTTTTATTGTTAACAAATTCAGAAAAGAAACTCACTAAAAAGGTGTAAAATATATAAATTTGAAAGACATCAAAAGATAGTTTTTGATTAGCAATACAAGTTAGGGTAGAAACTCATGCCAGAGAAAGACACACCCAGCTCAACCCCGGTTACTGACCAGTGAGCAGGGCGCCTGCAGGAAGGCTCCCCTTCTCCAAGACCCCCCAACAGACCCTGCAATCTACATGCCTTACCCCCACATCCATCCGCTCGAGACATCTGCCACATCCTGAGACTTAGAGACCAACCCCCAGCTACCCAACGACCCAGAGCTCCCATCTGGCCCAAGACATGAGTGACTTGGTACATACCCAGGGAGGCCTGCCCCTAGGTCCCATGTCTGGGCCCCAGACGTTCCCGGGGAAGACCCGCCCAACTCGGCCCCAATTGCTGCCAACAGGCAAGTTCCTGTGGGAATGTTCCCCTTCGCCAAAGCCCCCCAGTGGACCCTGTAATCTACATGTCCTGCCCCAACACCCATCCACCCAAGACCCCAGCCACTTCCTCAGGCTTGGAGACCAACCCCAAGCTCCAAAGAGGCCCAGGGCGCCATTCTGGCCCAGAGAGAGCTCCAATCCAGCCCAGAGAGCTCCCATCCAGCCCAGAGAACACCCACCTGGCCCATACAACTCCCATCTGGCCAAGAGAAAGAGAGAGATCTCATTAGACAAAGAGCCATCATTGGACCAAAAGTAAATTAAAGAGACAGGGAATTTGCCAGCCCTGATTAAACCAAGAGTGGCTTTCTGAGAAGAATCTGCCACCTTTCTTTGGACCAAGAGAGGCTTCCAGAAATAAAGAATCTATCAGCTTTGACTAGACAAAGAGCCCTGATAAGACAAAGAATGAATCCGTGAGTCACAGAATCAACTAGCTTGGGTTGACCCAAGAGCAGCTCACTGAGACACAGAAGCTGCCAGCTCCAATCAGGGCAAGAGCTAATATTAAACCCAGAAGGGCCCCCTGAGACACAGACACAACAAACACAGAGTGGACCAACAGCAACTTGCTCAGACACAGGCACCTCTCATACCTATTAGATGAGGAGATGGGCAGATGTCAAGGCAGAAGTACATACAACAACATAAAGAGCAATATAGCATCACCAGAACCTAGCCCTCCTCCAACAGCAAGACAATGAATATCACAAGGTGGAAGAAGCAGAAGAAAGAACCTTAAGAATAGCATCATGAAGATGCTAGAGGTCTTTCAAGAAAAAATGAAATTAAGGAAAAGATAAACAAAAAATGGAGGAAAACAATAAAGAAAATAAGAAAAAGTCAAACAAAAATGGGAAGAAATCTATAAAGAACTAGAGGACAAATAAAAAAGTGGAAGAAAACAATAAATCCCTTAAAGAAAACCATGAAAAAGCAATGAAACAGATGAGGGAAACAGTTTCAAGACCTGAACAGGGAAATAGACACAATGAAGAAGACACAGAGGGAATGCTGGAAATAGCAAATCTGAATAAATGAACAGGAAACATAGATGCTAGCATAACCAACAGAATAAAAGAGATAGAAGAGAGGATCTCTGGTGTAGAGGATGCAATAGAGGAAATAGATTCGTTAGTCAAAGAAAATATCAATGCCAAAAAGTCATAACACAAAATGTCCAAGAAATCTGGGATACCATGAAAAGATCAAACCTAAGAATAATAGGGATAGAGGAAGGAGAAAAATACCAACTCAAAAGCACAGAAAATATATTCAACAAGATCATAGAAGAAAACTTTCCCAACTTAAAGAAGTAAATGCCTATGAAGATACAAGAAGCCTATAGAACACCAAACAGACTAGACCACCTCCCCAAAAAAGGCCCCTTGCCACATAATAATTAAACAACTAAACATGCAGAATAAAGGAAGAATATTAAGAGCAGCAAGGGAAAAAACCAAGTGACTTATAAAGGCAAACCCATCAGATAACACCCGATTTCTCAATGGAGACTTTGAAAGCCAGAAGGACCTGGACAGATGTAATGCAGACACTAAGAGGACTATGGATGCCAGCCTAGGCTAATATACCCTACAAAACTTTCAATCATTATAGACGGAGTGAACAAGACATTCCAAGACAAAGCCAGATTTAAATACTACTTATCCACAAACCCATTTCTACAGAAAACACTAGAAGGAAATTTCCAACCTAAGGAAGTCAGATACACACTAGAAAACACAGGCAATAGATAACACCACAGCAGTAAACCCCAAAGAAGAAAAGTACACACACACTACCACCAAAAAATAACAGGAATGAACAATCACTGGTCATTAACATCCCTTACTATCAAGGGACTTAATTCACCTATAAAAAGACACAGGCTAACAGAATGGATATGAAAGCAGGACTCATCTTTCTGCTGCATACAAGAAACACACCTCAATTTCAAAGATAGACACTACCTAATAAAAGGCTGGGAAAAGTCTTATCAATCAAATGGTCTTAAGAAGCAAGCAGGTGTAGCCATCCTAATATCCAGAAAAATAGACTTCAAAATAAATCAATCAAAAGAGATAAAGAAGGACATTGCATACTCATCACAGGAAAGATTCACCAAGATGAAGTTTCAATTCTGAACATTTATGCCCCAAACACAAGGGCACCCACATATGTAAAAGAAACATTACTAAAGCTTAAATCACATATAAAATCCCACACATTAATAGTGGGAGACTTCAATACCTCTCTCACCACTGGACAGATATGAAAAATTGAAACTTAACAGAGGAATAAAAGACTTAACTGATGTTATGACTCAAATGGACTTAATCGATAGCTACAGAACATTCCATCCTAACAAAAAAGAATTAACTTCTTCTCAGCACCCCATGGAACCTTCATTAAAATCAACCACATACTTGGCCACAAAGCAAGTCTCAACAGATAAAAAAAATTGGAATAACCTCCTGTGTTCTATCAGACCAACATGATTTAAAGTTAGATTTCAACAATAACAAAAACTACAGAAAGCCTACAATCTCATGGAAATTGAATAATGCTCAACTGAATCACCAGTGGGTCATGGAAGAAATAAAGAAAGAAATTAAAGACTTCCTGGAGTCTTTAATATACCACACATCCAAACTTATGGGACACTATGTAAGCAGTGCTAAGTGGGAAATTCATAGCACTAAATGCCCACATAAAGCAGCTGGAGAAATCTCACACTAGTGACTTAATTGCACACCTGAAAGCTCTAGAACAATAAGAATCAAAGTCAACCAGGAGGAATAGATGCCAGGAAATAATCAAATTGAGAGCTGAAATCAACAAAATAGAAACAAAGAGAACAATAATACAAAGAATCAATGAAACAAAGACTTGGTTCTTTGAGAAAAGCAACAAAATGGATAAGCCCTTATCCAAACTAACCAAAAGGCAGAGAGAGAGCATCCAAATTAACAAAATCAGAAATGAAAAGGGAGACTTAACAGCTAACACTGAGAAAATCCAGAGAATCACCAGGCCATACTTCAAAAACCTCTACTCCACAAAACTGGAAAATATAAAAGATATGGATAATTTTCTGGATAGGTACCACATATCTAAGTTAAATCAAGACCAGATAAACTATTCAAATAGTCCAATAACCCCTAAGAAAATAGAATCAGTCATTAAAAGTCTCCCAACCAAAAAAAAAGCCCAGGACCAAATGGTTTCAGCACAAAATTCTACTAGATCTTCAAAGAAGAGTTAATACCAATAATCTTTAAATTGTTCCACACAATAGAAACAGAAGGAACATTACCAAACTCCTTCTATGAGGCTACAATTACTCTGATTCCCAAGCCAAACAAAAAAAAGAGGACTACAGACCAATCTCCCTCATGAACATTGATGCAAAAATACTCAATAAAATACTGGCAAACAGACTCCAAGAACACATCAAAACAATTATCCACCATGATCAAGTAGGCTTCATCCCACGGATGCAAGGGTGGTTCAACATATGAAAGTCTGTCAATGTAATACACTATATAAACAAACTGAAGGAAAAAAAAAACACATGATCATCTCACTAGATGCTGAAAAGGCATTTGACAAAATCCAACACCCCTTCATGATAAAGGTCTTGAGAGATCAGGAATACAGGGAACATACCTAAACATAATAAAGGCAATTTACAGCAAGCCAACAGCCAACATAAAAGTAAATGGAGAGAAACTCAAAGCGAATCCACTAAAATCAGGAACAAGACAAGGCTGTCCACTCTCCCCATACTTATTCAATATAGTACTTCAGATTCTAGCCTGAGCAATAAGAAAACATAAGGAGATCAAGGGGATACAAATTGGAAAGGAAGAAGTCAAGCTTTCTCCATTTGCAGATGACATGATAGTATATATAAGTTACCCCAAAAATTCAACCAAGGAACTCTTACAGCTTATAAACACCTTCAGCAATGTAGCAGGATAAAAGATTAACTAAAAAAAAAATCATTAGCTCTCCTATATACGATTGACAAGCAGG